TATATATATATATATATATATATATATATATATATATATACGCAAAGTAAGCAACATTTCAGTTAAACAAATTACTTTTAGCATATTAAATTGACTGCAAACGATTGCGGCTATTTGTAGTGAAAGGCAACAATTGAAAGTTTTCAAGATATTCACATTTTCGAATCGTCTACATCTCCATATTCATTACGATACAAAATTCTTCTAATGATCCTAATTCCATACAGCCGTTTAAGATCAAAACGACCTCTTGGAACAATTCAATAGCACAGATTCCGAGAAAAAAGTAAGTTGTTTTAGGGGAGATGATGATTAAATTCTTTCAATGAACGACTAAGAGAAACAGTTTGAGCACATTTTCCCAAGTCGAATACGTAACCTTGCATGACATCATTGATTTAATTAGTTTTGATGGTACTTTCAAATTTATCAGCTTTCAACTCAAGCTGAGATCAATGTAAAAGTTAGTGAATTAAACGGATGCCTATTGAAGAGTTATAAGAATCTAGTCAAAACCATCTATGATCACCGCACAATTGTGCGTGTAGTTCCGAAGTGCAAGTAGTTGTTAACAACAAATCTGATAGTGACATTCCGATGTGATATTGATTTCATACTTCATGAATTAAAATATTTAATAAGGAAACCGGTATTTAATGAATAAAGGATGTTCGAACGCATCTGTTCGACTGCTCAGTTACTATGAAATGTGCACATGAATTACAGTCGTCAGGTATATCCTCTCACAAAACTGCAAATTCGGATAGTGCACTATGAGAACTGATGACCGCAACTGATCTCAACACAAAATAACGAAGTTCTTCCGGATTTCTGGGAAACAGCCGTGATATGAAATCAAAACCTTTTCGAATACATCATCCAAACTGTGGCTAACACAAAAAAGAGGAGCAGTACCAGGGAAGACTCTCCAATTAAACATGAAACGTCGAATGATTACCACATTCGAGACAAGCAATATGCAGTGACAAAATAATTTTCGTCATGTTTGCACGAGCCTCTCAAAGGCTCCATATACAAACAAACAATAGCATGTTTTTCTGATGTCATCTATGCGTTATCAGTTCGCAAACATTTGCGTCCCTGCTTACGCCGGTCAGCATTTATGCTCAAAATATTTCTACTGTGACTCTTGTACTTACTAATGCGATATCGATAGTTTATTATGAACTATGACGAGCTCGTTCATTTATTGCTTTGCTGCAAGTAGTTTCCCTGTTCAGAAATTGTCGGATGGCAAAAGATTAAAAGTTCGAATCAATATTCTGAGAAGTACTAAATGATCGATAAAAATCAGCTGATCCTTTGCAAATTCGTTGCATCCGGTTTTATTGCATTAATGTACACAGTAATGAAGCCAAATTTTATTCGATTAAAAATTTCTACAGAGTTTCCATGCTATAGCTATCCACATCGAGCTGGAAGAACTGGGTTGTTTTGGACAAATGTAGACCATCTGGTAAACACGACAGCTGCATCGGTTTCCCTTCACGCTTCGGATAGCTCGGATTCGCACTGCAAATAAACTGATGAAGTGTGTTCTATGAGATGGATATTCTGCAACTTCTATCGCATGCACAGAGAGGCATTTTTTACGTTTGATAAATTTTTGCGTTTGAATATATTAATCGTTAGAATAATAAAAATTAAATTATATATAAACATAAGTGTAATTATCGTGCTTTGAGTAAACATTACAAAACCGCACAGTTGTAATTCCTTTCATTCCATATTGACAAAAAAAAAATTCAAAGCTATAATATTGGAGAGTTCTAACCCTGGCCACTCGGTCGTATTGAATTTGTAAGGACAAAACGCATAAATGCCAACATAACCCTCAAGCGCTAGCGGTGAATCACCAAATGGGCACTTGACACGCGACAACTGCGATTTATTAACTGAAGCTTACAGTTCATTACACTGGAGGACATAGAGAAAAGTTGCGCTCATGATACAGACGGTAATGCTGAGTTCACATCGAACAACAATTCTCTTTTCTCGTCACTGAACTCACAAACCCATCCGTTCTTTGCCTGTTACCTATTGCTCTCATAAATAATGCATTTTTGTTGACTGAACTCCGACAAAAAACTCCACGAAGTTTCATGCGCAGCAAGTCTAAAACTTCGGAATCCAAAAGGTCAAATAAACAGTTTGACGAAATAAATTTTTGGATATGCCGGTGCCAATAAGAAACTCACCGATGCATTTGCCCTCATAGTTGAATGTCGGTAACATGCGAATATCGTTTATTGGATGCGGTGGCATAGCACAATAGAACTACAAAATTCAACGCATTAACTAAAGTCGGCATTTCTTCACTGTCACGAACACAGGAAAATCATTATCGTAATGTTTGTCGGCGTTTCGAATGGCTAATTGTGGAGAGGAGTTTCACTCTACAAGACGCAGTTTCAACCAGCATGTTTACAAGATCAAATGCAATACTCTACTGGGAATGGCAGAGATTGTAAAGGAATAACTTTATGAATGAGATGAATTTAATTTCACAAATTTCTATTCGTTGACAAGATGTTATTTAGAAATAACCTTATGCTAGGGTCTCTTACTCAGCAACCAATTTTCATCTTACATCAGTAATAACCACAGAAATATTCGCGAGTATCAGAAAGAGGAGCATGCAAGTGAATCATGACTAACATTCGATTTACACAATTCAGTGACGAGTGCATGCATGGACGGGAAATCCATATAAACTCCGTTTGCATCGGTGAGTCGAGAGCACACAGTACCCTTAGGTGCTGTTGGTGCATCCAATAATTTCTGCCACTTGCTGTAATCGCATATCAAGCTATTGCCATCACATTTCAGATACCACGCCGAATTTACCGAGCATTTCGCTGTAACATTCATCCACACTCATCTCCGCTCGTTGCTCATGGAAAGTGATGATGAAGATGCATGCGCAAAGATGTGCAAAAGCGAACAAAATCAAAACAATGTCATCGCAGATAGCGTACATATGCATTGGCATGAATTGTAATCGATTTCAACGTTCGGATTGTTTGAATCACATTGACACGATGCGCCACCCTCGAAATTAATGCATTTCACAAAGCGTGATGCATCGTTGTTACTCGATGACGTTCTGTTACAACAGTAATCCACATATTCACATTCATTAATATCTGAAAGATCTTGCTGCTCATCGCGCAATACACTGATTTCAAATGTATTCATTGTTTCTTTTCCCCAATGACTATGGGTCAATAAGGAAACTGATACTATGGGTCAATGCCGAATTTCTGGACATCATAGGTGATTCGTTTGCAACGACTGTAGCACCATGAAGCTATTCAAACTTACAAAATTTATCGGTTTGTGACTATATCTTCAAATGAGAAAAACGTTCTCAAACATCAGTGAAACAAACTATACTATCGAGTTCGAGATCGATCTAATGATTCATAGGACATAAATGAATGTACGGGCTGTATCGGTCATACGATATCGTCACCGCTAGCATTACAAAACTACCAACAACGGAGTGTGTAGCACACCTTCAAGTCCAATAATAACACTTGTAACTACATCGCGCACAATAATGAAACCAGCAGGTTGTATCCAACGATGTGTTTTCAGGTCACATTTGAACAAACTGCGATACATTGCATTTTTCACAGTGACTGGACCTGTGGTATCCAGTTCCGTACATTCATGTTCTGAAATTTATCATTCAGTTGCACACAGCGGGGTGGTGAAGCTAAAGAGATAGCTAGACAACATCCTTTGCCTATTCCAGCAGCTTGGGTTCATGTAAACAGCAGGAGATTTTACAATCACTGTAAAGAAATTTAGGTTTGTTTTTTGAATTGTCAACATCAATCTTCGAAATCATATGAACCGAACATCTAAAAATTAACGACAAAAAGTATCACCAGGACAAACATCGAACGTACTTGTGCAGTATGGAATGCCTCTTGCATTGAACCTCGTCATATATCCAGATGCCGAGTCACAAAGGCACTTTCGATTCATACGATCACATATCCACCCTTCACCAGATGACGAACAATTCAAGTATACACAAACATCGATATCTAAACATGATCTTCAATTGCTGATGAGTATTCCCACTCTGAGAAATACTATCAAATTGGATTCCGTACTTTAAGAAACTAACAATTTAGTGAATGAATCAGTTTCCGGATAACTCTTTCATGGATTGATTCAGCTCACGGATAATTCAGAAAGTAATTGCAATTGTGAACAACTTCTAACGAACCATCACAAGTAAGCACAGGTGTTTGTGCTGTACCACCCTGACGTCTTATTTGTCCGGGTACACAGTCACATTCGAAACCCTGAATAATGCCGCTAGAGTAGTATTCAGCAAAAACTCCTGTAAGTGAAACATTAATGAATTGGCGTGAATTTTTGAGATTAACGTGGCAATTTTTGTTCTTCTAACTCAGTTAGTGAAGCCTTTCTTTGTCAGATGCACAAATAACTATGTGATTCGCTGTGAACCACAAGTGTGTTCGTTCAGAAGGTGAAGTTGGGGGTAACTCGTTGATCGCATTTTCAAGGACTAATAAACTATGGCCTGTTACTCGCAGATTCATTTGATATACCCACCATGTTCTTGATACAATCCATTTCTACAGAAAGGTAACACTGAGGACGCAGATGAAAACCACCACCAATTATCATATCTCATCGCTCGTTCATAACAAATCGAGTAAGCACTTCCATTAATTGCTGGTCTTACCACCCACTGCTTCCAATCACTCATCTTGAAAAAATAACCGCTGCTCACCGCAGTCTGGAATCTGAAATGGTTAACTGTTCATTTGCGTAAACTGAATGTATTTTCCGAGCTGGCGCACTACTGAACAGCTACACCTAATACTAGCAAAGACTCCTTAAGATGAGCTAAGATTTCCCGAGATTAATAGCACAACAAACCTCAGCAATGTTTCACCATAAGCTGGATCTTCCGCACATTCATCTATATCAACGCATCTTCCCGATGACTTTTTTAGTCTGTAACCCTTCTGAAGCGATTCCATGTTGATTATTTCTATCACTTTGAAAACAAAAAATAAAATCACTGCGATGCATGCGAAAAAGTATGAAGTAAGATGAACGCTTTTTTTGAAATATACACCTTGAAACCTCGATTTAATCAAAATCGGATGAAAGGGATAAAATGTGTTACAACCGAATTAATGCCGAATCAAGCTTTTTAATTTCAAAATTCTGAAGCGTTGAAACGTACGGGTTATCAAAATTGTACTGTTGTCGAGCTTTTCTCCTTCATTGTAGCATTTTATTACTTTACTTCTTTTACTTTTTAATTTTTACCGATTTTATGCAAATTTTCCAATCTTCGGTATGATCAATACTCATGCAATGATAAAGTGGTAAAATTGAAATTCTCATTGATGATGTAAAAATTTGAAAGTGATTGATAGTATCGATGATTGTTGCTTTATTAATTCAATACGTCTACTGAATTTAGAACTTCAGTAGGCACATGAATTAATGATGCAACAGTTACTGATAGTATGCCCATCGTGATATGTTCTTTCAGTTTTATCATCATCACTGAAAAGCAATGCACACTCGTCGGATAGCTTTCGATTCAACTGGCCTTATTGGACTAAGACCTCCCTTACTTGTCCGTTAAATTTTTCGTGGTTGTGCTTACCGGTCCACCAATGCGACACTAATAAAGATAAAGCAAGCAACCGAGGAAATGCATGTCTGCACGGTTATATACTCTAGCATTCAATTGCATTACCGAATAATTTCGGATTTTCATTACAAAAACTCTACAGAAAAACTTCAAAACAGACAGAAATTGCAGAATTATTCATTCAAGAACAATTATCCAAGAGGCACCTTGCAACGAATTTCGAAACTACCAACTGTATTGATACAATCTTGAGTCGTGGCATCATATTCAACATACCCTCCATTACATTCGTTGATATCTGTAATTGCTAGTTACTGATTTTATGGGTTGCTGCTGGACCCTACGCTGTTTACAGAGTACGGCGATTTGATCTATGATTCATTTTCAATGCCAGATATAGGAGCTCTGAAAGCCCCTAATGTTATATACTTTTTTTAATTGGATGGGTTGGTTTATTGGGTAATTTTTTTCAAGTGATGAATTTACGTGCTCCAGAATGCTAACCTTCGCAAGAACGGTACTGTTCATTAGAGCTCAATAAAGGTTTGAAGCCTTGCTTGCACACACATCTGTACAATGCTTGGCCCTCAATCATCGTACACACAGTTGTTTCTGGGTCGCAAATGTTCAGAGTTGAATTCTTGCATTGATCAATCGGATTACAATGCGTGGATCCATCACCTGCCGATAAATTTCATTGTTTATAATCGTTAACGATTTATTTCTATGTCTTTCTCAGATGAGCATTGGGCGATGATTTGAATGATTGACGAAAACTGGAATCATCAATCTTTTCAGCTCGATCGTTCACAATAAATTCAAGCTTGTGGCTAGAATGCACTGAACGACTCACAAACCTTCGAACAAGTCTGCACACGAACAAGAGAATGAACCAACTGTATTCGAACAGATTGCGTTCACCGCACACGGATTATTTCGCTTGCATTCATCGATATCTGAATGAATGCGAATTATGCCGAGCCGTTCGGGCACCTCATAACTTGCGATGCGATAAAACTTGATCATCGACGAGGTTATTACTCACCTATGCACGAATGTTGATCCTTTGTGTTCTGATAACCTTCCGCACAATCGCATCGATAGTCACCACGCAAATTGCTGCAGTGATTTTGTTCACAAATTGTGTCATTCAACACGCACTCATTGATATCTGAAGAAAGAGTTCAGCAAATTGTTGTTGGGGATAAAACTATTAGAGCTTTATCAATTTGTGGATCAATTTCGCACCGTTATTCTACCAACGACTTCACTTTCCTCACACACTAATTTGTATAGGCATAACTGTAGAAGAACTTTGCTTCTTTCAGGATATCAATAACAGAGACTGAATCAATGAAGAGTGACTCAAAGCATAGATATACTAGTTTGTGACAATTTTATACCCCGTAAGACAATATTCTGCTTTACCGAAGTAAGCATTTTCACGAGAGGATAAAAAAGGAACCTATTGCCAGTATGTAGTCCTTTGGCTTGAACATCACTGTGTCAAAAGCTATGAAATTCTATGGGTTGAAATTCATCGGTCTGAATGTCTTACCAGTACAAACATACGGATTATCTCCAACATGTTCATATCCTGCCAAACAAACACATTCGAACGAGCCATCATTATTTCGGCATATCGATGTTGATGAGTCGCATTTGTTCAGAACCGGACTGCTGCACTCATTGATATCTAATAAGAGATCAATCATTCGAAATCAATACGTGAAGTGCGTACAATCGCTTGATTCCAATGAGATTGCACAACCAACACGTCTCAATGAATAAACTACTGCAGTATAATAGTGACACGGTCACAAGACCTGAATGCAGAAGCATCTCAAAGAGAGCTGTCTAATCCGGTAGCATACTCTAACCTTTGCAGTTTCCAGGTGATCCATCTCCTTCATATCCAGCTGCACATTTACAACTGAACGATCCTTGCGAATTTATGCAAGTCGCATTCGAATCACAAATATTTACATCGTTTGTCAAACACTCATCCACGTCTTGAAGAGCAATGATACAAAGTTCTTTAGAATCATTAACAACAAAAGCTTTTTGACAAACACAATTTCAGTGGTACAACGATGAAAACATCACTGTGAATTTTTGAAATTAGATTGAAACTGGAGGTTCACCTTTCAAATGTAGGAACCTACAGGGTTTACTGATTTTTCTTAGAAAAAACTGCAGCAACAAACACGTGGCGTCATTTCACAAATAAAATTTCGGCATTGTGCGGTCAGAATATTTCAAGTAATCACCGTTGCAAGTGAATCCATCACCACTGAAACCAGGATTACAAACACACGATATGCCGTTGGTGCCGTTACCGTTCACGCAAGTTGCATACTTACTACATTGATGATTAATCCTACATGATGTAACCTAAATAGTTATTGTTAAACTAGTCGTTGAAGCCCTTTCATTCTGATTTTTGCAGATTCCATAAATCGAATCATAAACCGAATGAGTCATCGAGTAAACTCATGTCAAAATCAGTGTCAAAATCACACTGAAACTGATCGGAAAATGAATGTATTCATAATCTGCTCACTGATTCGCAACCTAAATTCGGTGTACCCGCGCCAACGAAACCAGCGGGACACTCGCACCGATAACCACCCCCATCGATATTTTCACATTTCGCATCTGGATGACACGCACTGATCGTGTTCTCGCATGACATCGGTTCACATTGTATCATCTCGCTACCTTTAACAATTCATATAGTGATTCGAAAATAAGACATTCTTCGTTCAAACAACATAAAACACATCGATTATGAAACGAATGTTCAGGCGTAAGATTAACCTTGTGCAACGTTAACCATTCCGGGTGCACAAACGCACTTGTAGAACGGTTCAAGATCAACGCAAGTGGCATCGATGCCACATATGGACGGTTGTTCGATACATTCGTTGATCTGCTCACACAAGGTACCCTTCAGTCGATAACCATTATCACATATGCACTTATGCATCGCCATTGTTTCAACACCTCCCTGGCCTCCTGCAATCACTTCATATGTCGCCTGCAACTGATAAAATTCTGAAAAAATTCAAAACGCTGGACAATGGAATCACCTGTTTGCAACCATGAACAAAAGCCAATTCAGTGCAGAAGATCTATGCGGTTGACACGAAATTTAATCAAATTAAGGAAAAATTTTCGTTTGCTATTCTGAAAGAATTAATCGTGCGAAAGCTCATCAACTGCCCATACCGATGTTGTGCAAAATTGTTTCGCAGTGCGCATTTGCAGTACACTGGTCATCAGTGTTGCATTCGTTGATTGGCTCACATAACACCTCTGGATTTTTGCCCTAAAACATAACAACCATTTGATTCTTCAAATTCCATATACTATCGAGACAAGTGATAGCACAGCGCTGCCACCCTCTCATATTTGGTGCAGGATCTGGATGTAATCGAATCACACATCAGATTCGATCGCACATGACAAATTTACATAAGAACCACTGCTTCGTTTAAAACGAATAGCATTTCAACTTGAACGAAACAACGATAGATACGAGACGAAATTGGCTAACAAAGTAGCCGTCTTTGCAGATGCACGTCGGTTGGTAATCATTTGGATCCCATTCAGACGGTCTCATAACACATAGCGCATTTCTACCGCAACGCACGGATTGATCGCAAACATTGTTCGGCACACAATTGTTATATTCATTTCGACGATAACTGAAACATTAATTTCGGAAAGTTTGGATAGTTTCCACTCAGAAGGACAATAAAAACAAATATGCCCATCAAAATCGTGATTTGTTGCGAAGTTCTGAGTTCCAGCCAATTATTCCATCAAATACTGACTCACAATTTCGGAATACCAACTCACCAATAGAGTTCAGCAACGATTTGAGATATCGAATGATGCATGCAAGAGAATGGAGCTGATGAATGGAGAAGATTCAATAAGATAATGAAAGAATTGTTTTCACTTAGAGAAAAGATGCATCATTTAGCACTACTGTGAATGTTTTTGAAAACTTCTACTTTCGAAGCAAAGCAGAGCAAGGACAGTACCTTGACTGTTATTCTTCGCAAGGAAAAGAAAAATTATATGGCGATCGAATAGTGTATTCATATATACCTACCCTTTACTGCATTCGCAGTAAAATCCACCATTTGTATTCACACACGTCTCCGATAGAGCGGTGCAGCTGTGCATTCCAAGTGTGCATTCATCTATGTCTTCAAATCATTTTCAGCTATTACTACACAAAACTTTAAGCTTGATCAAGACACCTTTTAAAGTTTGTATCAATTTTGAAAGCAACAATGCTAATGGAAATCGCATATGACAGCAAACCTTCACAGACGTTGGTCTTCTGTGGCACATGAACAAGTCCAGAATTGCAAATGCACATATAGCCACTGTATGTATTGAAACACGATGTCGTCTTTTTGTCGCAGTCATCAATTCCTTCCATGCATTCATTGACATCTGCAATGACACTCCACCTAGGTAATCACGGCTGAATTTGAGACTGAAACAATTGAGACGTCAACCGATAAACAACTGCGAAGACAATATCAACTGACCAACACAACGTTGCTTGCCGGCTGATGGACGTAATCCGGGAGGACATACACATTCGTATGAACCGAGATTATTCGAACAGATACCACCTGATTGCGCACATAATTCTGAGATTGGTGTACGGCATTCATCGATATCTACAAGAACACTTATTAGGTAACAGCTGAAGAGCAACGTTCATTGATCAACAAGAACGCTTTCACAAAGTGGCCATTCCATTGAGGTGCTTATTGTTGGACGGATGCAGCAGCAAATAAAGACGGCAAGGAAGTGACCTATGAGAGTTGATATTAGACATTCACATCAAAATGTTTTAAATAATTTCAAAGTGATTCATTGTTCAAAAATTGGACACTGAAAATGAGAGAAAATCACTTGAAACGAACAAATATACTGAACAAATACCATCACAGAGGGTGCCAGATGCGTTCATTAAGTATCCGGCAGGGCATTTACAGAAGAACGAGCCTTGCGTGTTAATGCAGCTTGTGCCAACGGGCATAGCAGCACACGGAGATGCACTGTCGATCGAAGCACATTCATCGATATCTGAATTATTGAAGATGTCTGAATCATCGAAGTACATTATCAGACGAATACCCAAGCAGATTATGTGAATAATGCGTGCTTCCAATTCAAAATTGTCATGTTACTCGACTGTCATGGATTTGTATTGAAGAGTTTGAAATTTATCACTTTTCAACTGCTCGACATCTCAAACATCACTGCGTTCCATTGATTACTACTAATAACTGGCCAACTTATTAACATCGCTCTACAATAGCAAGAAAAAACTTAAAAAGTGGACTAAGTTTATTTTATCTGAAGAATGGCATATAAAAAGTCGGTATTGCCTATATTCTTCCACTCACCCTCACAATTTCGTGTACTGTTGTTGAAAATGAATCCTTTAGGGCATATGCACGTGACCAAATGAGGTGATGAACGTTCATCAAGAGAAACGCACTGAGCATCGCTCGGACAGTCGTTATGGTTCAGACATAAGTCAACACCTTGAATGATTAATAATCATGGACAACAGTCATGTTCATCTACTCTTTCATCAATTTTTCAAGCTTTTAAATTCGTTTTCACAGAGGATATCAACTAGCCACTGACGGATATAAGTTGAAATACTTTTATTCCAATGAAGTGTTAAAAGCATGCAACTACACATAGATGCTTCTTTTTGTTTATTGTTACCATTATTTCATCATCCTTATTCATTTCCTTGCAAACCTCCGAATTGTTTGCTACAATCATGTTGTACTTCTTTTTTACCGTACTGTCCATTATTTGCTACTAGTATATTCTTATTTTGACTGTTAGGTTCGCAATTTCTAAGACTCCATATTTTGTTGAATCAGAATTCTAGAATGCTTCAAAAAGTGGCGCATACTGTTGCACTGATTGGTGCCGTCTCCGGTGTAGTATGGTGCTTTACAACGACATTCGAAGAGAGGTGTGAGATCAATACATTCTGCATGCACATGACATTTTGCAATACCCAAAGTGCACTCATCGATTGCTGAAAACATCATTCCATAGTTTATTTTATTAGCTTAATTATTAGCGCTCTACATAGGACTCTTCGAACTTGTTCGTTGAGATAATCATGAAGTAACTCACGATTACACGTGTGCACACCATCCCCCGTATATCCAACGTCGCATGTGCAATTGTAAATATTACCGCCGGGTCGTTCACTTCTTAGACAGTGTGCATGTTCATGGCACTCGGGGCATTTAGCGCTCATCACACAGTCTCGTGTGCCACGTTGTATCGCTGGAGGCTCACACAAGCACTCCCATGTACCCGGACGATTGATACACTTGGAGTGTGATGGACATGCTGCAACTTGTTCATATAATCTACTTTGTTAGTCAAACGATGGTTTTTTCGCATACTATAAGTTAGGAATAAAAGCTGTCGGTTCCTTTTGAGTTTAGTGAAATGGTATGAAGAACATATTGGCTGAAAGAAATTGGACTAATGAGGTGTCATTATGAGGAATTTACGTGCGATTTTTGAACGGCAGATACGATTTGCATTTGATACGGTGACATTTATTCAAAAAGTGGCGCATACTATTGCACAAAAAGTCCGAAACGCGTCTTTGTTAAACCAAAATAATGAACGAATAAAATGAAGATTACAAAGATTATCAGATCACAATTATCAGAGTGAAACAATTCCAGCTGCAGTATAAATTAAGTGCTGCAACAGTTAGAAGAGAGCCCTGATAAAGTACCATTTTTGTCCTCAGCACATTCGTCTATATCTTCACATAATGCGACTTTGTCATCCTTCACAAGAGCAATACGAAATCCACGTTTGCATGTGCAATTGTAGCCACCAACTGTGTTGACACATGTTGAAAACAATGGACAATTATACTGAAAAATGATGACATATTGAAATTTCGAGATTTAATCAGAGAACCGAGATGCACTATGACGATGGTTTCAATTAGTAACAACTCCTCATAATCAAGTGAACTCGTGCAAAAAAATGTACTTTCTTGAATGAAGAAGAGAAACAATCGAAGATAATCGTTGAAAGAATGAAAATGATCTAAGAACCTCATTTGTGATACATTCGTTATGGTCAACACAGTATTCACCAGATGAAATGTAAGCAGGCTGATTACATTCGCAACGATAATTACCTGGCACATTCACGCAACGTTCTTCAGGCGTATTGCAGCTTAAAATGCTTCGTCTCTTACTAGTTAAGTCATTGGCAATGGTTTAACGACTTCTTTAAACACAAATTGGATGGCAATTTCTCACTTTTTTGGCTAACAAAACAAAGTAAATGGAAAGTGGAATAAAAAAAATGCCGAACGGTGCAATCATTCCATGCGATTCTAATCTTTACCGAAAAATTTTTTGAACACTTCACATGCTTTGGCAACGCGTCATCCTCATAGATTGAAATGATTCTCAGATCCACATTGCGTTTGTTAGACTTGTGAGTGTTTCAGTGATGTACAATTAATTTTGCCCAAAATCAGTACAGATACGAACATTTGAGACAATTCAACGCATTCGTCGATATCTTTGCAAAGTTGAGTCGTGTCGTTTTTACGGTAACCGTCCGGACATACACACTCAAAACTTCCAATTGTATTCTTACACTGATAAGTTTCACGACAACTAACTGACCCAAACACACATTCGTCCACATCTGCAATAAGCACTTCTTGCTTCATTTTGAACGAATGCATTAACACGTCCAACGAGGAAACAACTCGCTCTACTACTACCTCTTGCATCAAGCGATCAGCAATCTGAATCGTTTGATGTCTTGCTAAATCTAAGACCAACATTCAAATTAAGCATCTACGGGGATTATTCGGTGGCTGCAATCGGAAGTGAGCAACGTGAACGTTACAGAATTTGCTCGAGGGGCTCGCCATCAGTCGTGAAAACAGGAGGAATAATCGACTCCGATACTGTTGCAACGAGCGATCTGAGTAGAAGAAATACGAACAGCAGGAGACAAACTATGCGCATCTTTGTGGAATGGAATTGATGAAAACAATTTTATAGAATATTCACCTTTACACTCATCTCCGGGATTCAGTCGTTGGAAACCAATTTTACATTCACAACTGTAACTTGTGTTTTGATTCACACAAACTTCATGCCCACTGCACGGCTCTCCGTCGACCACCTTACGAGCTTCTTTACAGTAATCATGCGCTGCAAATACAGTAATCACCGCTTGGTTGTTGAGCAGCATTGCAACGCTACGCTCACAGTTATCAGTTTCAAGATGGAATTGTGGAAATAAAGGAAATAATAACGTTTGCACGGTATTCCACCAGGAATAGCGTCACCGTCATAACCGGCTTTACATTGACAGTAACGATGTGAGTCGTTTATTTGAGCGCAGTACGCATTCACATCGCCAATACAATTCTTTTCACGACTACAGTTTGGAGTATCAACTGAAATTTTTACAAAATATTCACTCCTTTCACAACATCTTGATAGCTGTGACTGGAGCTATTCCCTTTTCACTTCATAAATACGGCAAAACTGGAGCTGACTTCAAAAATTCATTTCATGAATTACAGGTTGTCATCATCCGATACTCACGAAAATAACGAAAATTTAATATTGACAAGGAGAATAAATATTGAAGTATAGGAAGAAAACATAAAGAGATGAAGAAGGATTACTTATGCATTTGTTGTTTATATCAGCAATCTGTCCACGAGGACATTCACAACGGTAGCTACCTTCGGTATCAATGCATCGAGCGGATGTATCGCACGCGATATTACTCGCATTTGCGTTAATACCTTCTGTGCACTCGTCAATATCTGCAACATAACACGGTCTTTGCCACTGACTAAACATTCGAGTACAAAGCTTATAAATACTTATCATTTGGAAAAAACTGTCTGCTTGTTAACAGCAACACGAGAAAAATCAAAAAGTCAAAAATTCGGCCTAGAAAAATGAGACACCATCATAACGCGATTGTTAGTAACCTAAGAAAAAAGCTAATAGAGGGCTCCCGTTCCCTTTGATCTTCTTATGGACGGCATTTCTCGGAATACCGGCGGATTGAACAATTCGAAATTAAGTTAGTTAAAAACTGAAAACTCACGATAGATTAGTCTAAAAAATCACTGAAAATAAACAAAAACAAGAAATCACAACATACTTTCACAAGTAGTTCCGCTCGCGTTTAACCTGTATCCTGTTTCACATGTGCAATTATACAGCTTACCAGTATTCATGCAAAGCATGTTATCTGCTGTGCAGTATTGGTCACTCTTACAAGGCTGTGAGGTTTTCGGTTCTGTCTGAAATAAGCAACTCGTACATGGATCTTATTTCATGGTATCTAATTTTCAATCTACAAAATGTCTTTGACATATTCTGCAGACACAGCGATTATTCGCTACATGGAAATAATTCTTGTAAAAACTGAATAATTTGTTAGCATCAAGCAAAAAATTTTCTTTCCGCTGTTTGCGATCACAAGAAATGTTGTTGAAAGTAAATCAATCATGACATACAATTTTTGTGGGCTTTTAGATTAGAATGTACCCGAGAAATAGAGGCATTCTCAGTCGCTCCACTAAAACCGAATGTTGTGACCATTTAAAAAAATATTACAAGCTCTGAACGATGTTACCTTACACGAACAATAATCTATTGGGACACAGTTCTTATGCTGATCAAGTTGGTGGCCTTGTTCACACAAACACTGTGCGATGTACTTACCACCGTCTCGTTTTGGATGGCAAGTTGCGTTTTGTCCACATACACCTAAAAATTCGGTGAGTGAATAATGAGGAGTCGGTGTCCTCAGGAAGAAGAATTTTTGGTTGTATGTTGTGAAGCAAGATGCGTAAATGGTACATCGGACTGATGTATATCTGGTGAAATTCTTCTCAGATTTCTTTTGTGACACAACAGAAAATAAATATTCCATCACAAAATGACGCAGTCCGCGAAACATCACAAAATGACACTTTCAGTTTAGAAAGACAACGAAACGAACCGCTAACAGATCGTCGCTTACGCCTACGCGTCATATCTGTAAATTCATCTGTTGTGTGTGTATGTGTGAACATATCGCTTTAGAATGAAGGTCTAATTAAATTTTCGATCATATGCTTGAAGCGAGTTGAAGAAAAAAATTTTAAATCCTTTTTTTCAACATTATCAGCGTTGAATCGTGGAAGCAAGCAAGTCGCTATATGCCGAAACAACGACCTGCTTACATTCACGTTCCAACATTTTACCATCGCTTTGTGTGTTCATCGACCGAAACCAATTTACAATATTTCATGTTTGCTATCGTTTACTGCATGATGAGAATAAAATGAGCACATATCAGTGATAACATTGAAGGAAACACGGACGTGAAACTAGACAAATATAAAGCAATTCAGCAATTCCATCTTCGAGAAGCAGCACGGAATAGACCAGAATAGACTAAATAGAAATAGATTAAATAGACTAAATATAAAATATCTTTTAAAAATTCAATAAAACGAACCCTTGTCATATGCACACGGATTATCCCCACACTCGTACTCGTTGATTGACAAAAATCCGATTTTACATTTACAAAATGTTTTTCCATTGTCCTGCTCACAAACCTGCGTATTTTTATCGCAGGGATTCGCTGCCTCACAAATGTCGGAAACTAAAATCACTTCACATGTCAGAGATGTAATCGATGTGAACGATGATATGACTGTACGTAATTCATAACCTCACAACCTTTAAATACTCACATTCAGATGTCACCAATACACTGAAACTGTTTAATTATCCCAACATTACAACATATCATCACTTACGTTATAAATATGATAAGTGTTACTAATTGGTAACGATGTTTGAAGGTAACTGATGGTAGAAAAATATGAAAGATTTAGTTCATTTTATAATCAATGTATCTTGAATGCATAAGCATATCGATTCGAAATAAATGAATAAATAAATTTGAATGCAACAAAATGGATTTCGACAGTACCCTTGCAGCCTGCTAAGTAAGCATCACCATCGTAGCCAGGCGCACATGTGCACGTATATCCACCAAGAGTATTCGAGCATTTCGCTGCTGTACCACATGCCGATCGTAGTGATCCATTGTTCATCAGTATTCCCTTCAATCAGAAATGTTGATGAGAAATGGGTGAAAATCGACGAGCGATTAGTTGAATTATGTCTAGTAGTAATTGCGCGTAAAACTACCCGATGGATGCAATTGTGCGTATAAATTCCTGACGTAAATTCGTGGCGTTTAATAAGGTGCCATTTTCATTTTTAATCTCAAAGAATCAAGAATATTTCGAAAACCCCTGGACAAGGCAAATTTGATTGGTGCCGTTGCGCTGATCGCTTTTGGTTGGTCCCACCGAAACCGGCGGACCATCGCGTTCCGGGGACCAACGACCCAATCGTGCCAACACTTAATAATGGTAAGTAACCACCGAATAATCAGATAATTTCGATTTCCGTCGGTGGCAGCCGATTTTTGAGGCCCATCGAATTTCGGCCGTCACCGAGCGAAATCTATCCCTATCAATTGAACATGTTTAACGATCACACCTCTTTACATTCATCCACATCTACACACGGACACTCGGCTGGAGAACGACATCCGCTTGGCTTCTTGAATCCTTGCTTACACGTGCAGTTGAAACTACCAGGTGTGTTAACACATAGATCAACAGGAGTCGGTGGACATGGAGATGGTGTACCATTGCATTCGTTGATATCTATAAGAAATCATCAGAACTACGAGCACCAGAATCTCTTGAAATGATAACACTTTATAAATGTCTTTTTTAGCCGTTCTCAAGCTACAGCACATCAAATGAATCAGTAATTACGTATTTTAGAAATGAGAAAGTAGTCATAATATTTCTATTCGAACCATATAACATCGCCACTGTAAGAAGCATAACCTTCACTGGATATTTAAGCAACTTCCATCTATGAAATGGAACACTTTCTGTGATTAATAGAAATCAGTGTATTCTTTCGATTGACAAATCAACCAATAAACATTTTTGCAATAACCGAACGCGTACATACCTTCACAAATACCGTTCGCATTCTCGAAGTATCCACGAGGACAGACACAATGATATGATCCCTCATCGTTGACGCATTTCATGTGAACATCGCCACTCCTTTTGGCGCAATCATTGTTATGTGACGATAAACATTCGTTGATATCTGACAACAAACGATACTCATGCTCTTTGAAATTAATAACTACGAAACAAGATACGATAATCCATGCGCACTTCAGTGAGCGATGCTCCTAACTTCGTGTTTATGAAACTTACCTTTGAAGGGATGTAGTAATAATGCGATTTACCTTGACATCCTCCTTGAACAGATCGGTATCCTTTCCGACATATACACTTGTATGAACCTGGTAGATTATCGCAAAGTTGTGTTGTTTTATTGCAGTTATTTCTAGGATCTGCTGGATTACACTCATCCACATCTGAAATCACTCACAAACAGATTACAACGCTAAAGATGATTCACTCAGTGGGTGATGAGGTCATATCTGCGGATGTCGACATCAAAAGTTATTGATATAACTTTATGCACGAAATACGCAACGAGCTCAACCACAGGTACGCGCATTACTAAGCAAAGCGATACCAGACATCTTTTTAACCGAAATCCTCACGTCATTAACGCTAATTATGCAACCATACAAGTTACATCATCTCTTACAATACGTACTGAAAGTAGATTAAGAAGTATCGCGAATACAAGTTGAATATCTGGAGAAGGCACTCTTTCATAACAATTCCGAAAATGCTTATTANTATTAGGGTGAGCAAGGTATTCAAAAATTTTAAACGAAATGTATCGAAAATTCGAACGAATTAACGCGACAGGAGAGAAATTTAACGAATGAGCGCAAGGCGAAAAAAGTATCGCCTGTACTAATTTTGTTAACATTCCCAAATCTAGCGAAACTTTGGATATTCTAATAAAGTAATTAAGGACGTTAAAGTGTCCACCTCCGAGCTCAATATTATGCGAATTTTATTCAGTGAACTCATCCATTCACCATCGTGCTATAATATAATCAAACACATGCGAGAAATGCCAAATAGCGATCGTTCATCGTGACCGTCTGATATCAGTTTAATTGCTTCCGTTCAGAATCGCATGATCGTTTTTCGTTTCGTCCAAACATGAACGCGAAATGACAGAAAAGCAAGCGGTGACCAAAACACACTCGAATTGCAGTTGACATGAGAAGACTGTACACTACTTTCTTCAAAAGTGCACTCTCAAATTTGTTTGGTGCATGCGAGCTGAATTTCACGATAACTCTCGGAAAATCGCAAAATTTCTCGTTCATCTCGTTTAGTCAACTCTCGTCCCCCTTCATAACCTTGCAACCGATTCTCGTTGATCTCTTGTTTCGTTTAACACTCAAGAAAATCATCATGCTTCATGTCGTGTTGCTCTCGTCTCGTTTTTTTTTTGCCGATTGGGCATGTCTCGCCTATACTTAATTATTACCACACCATTCCCATCTTTACCAATGCGTACCAATAGAGATTTTTGCCTTTTTTGTCTATTCGGATCCCCCATAAATGCATTTTGGCTTACTTACCCGTACAAATGGCACCGTTCCCGAAATAGCCTTCTTTGCATTTACATTCGTATGACCCCATCGTATTCTTACAATAAGCATTTTCGTCGCATTCTGCTGAGCCATCGCGGCACTCATCGATATCTGAATATTCGAAACGTTATCATTTCATCATCTCGAGCAACCATTTTCACTCTTCTAATGTCGAATGCGATTCCTGTTGTTGCTAATGATCAATTTTTTGAACATGGATCTTCGTCGTCCTATTCAAGGCTCCATTTCATTGCATAGCATCAAAGTAATAACACAACATTGACGGCATATTCCGTCCAAAAAATACTTCAAGGAAAGGAATTCAGCTGATGCGAAGTATCGGAAATGCAGTGCAACGGAATGTCAAGCAGCATAAAAATTAACAAAAATGATATTCACACCACTGCACACGTTGTAATTAGGTGCTTCATGACGAAATCCATCCGCACAAACGCATTCGAATGAACCAATTGTGTTTGTACACGTTGCATTCTTTGATTCACAGTCGTCTATTCCAGCATCGCACTCATTCATATCAACACATTCTGGATCTGTCAGTGAACTGCAAAACAAAAAATCCGTCCTTCATTTTCATTCTCCACTCATAAAGCAAACCATCCGTTTTATGCGGCATCATTATCCGACGCCCACCTATTCTTTAGTGAGTTCAGAAACGGTGTCAACATTGAGAAGGCGGAATTTCATTGGATCGTTGAAAGCGGAAGAAAAATTGATGAGGTTAAGTAGAATTAAAACGGCAGTAGCACATCGGCTGTAAATTGTTCACACAATCAAAAACCCACTTTCGCATAGAATACTAATCAAACGATTCGGTAGTTATCGAACATAACGCTTCATTCCTACGCTGAAGAATCTTTTTGCGCTTATCAGCAGCAAATGAAACGACTAAGAGAACGAAACAATGGTGACATCTTCCCTCGAAATGGTTTCCGGCTCATTTTTATTACAAACCTTCCTATGCTTGGCGTATATCCCTTATTACAGGAACATTGATAACCGCCTTGGAGGTTTTCACAGTGCGAGTTGACTGGACATGATAGAGCGTTTGCGTCGAGATTACATTCATCGATATCTGAATCAACATCAAACTTAAAAAAACACATGGGCATACAATCTTATAAGAATCGTCGCTTCGTTAAAGTTCATAAGCACAAATTAAAAAAAACTTCAACCGATTATGCGAGTTAACGATCAGTTTCTTAAAGACCCCCGTGCACTATTCTGCATCCAAATTTCCTTCAGCGATCTACCGATCATTAACTAACAAAAATTTCTCGCGTCAGGCACAACAACCAACCAATGCAATATCCTTGTTCGGCTGGAACTTTTTCATATCCTTCACCGCAAACGCATTCATACCTTCCAGGTCCTGCGTGTTTGCAATTCAACGGATCTGCACATATATTGCCCTCCGCGCATAGATTTATCTCTGAAATGCTTCATTTTGATCAATATCTCAAGCAATTACCACATGACAACTGAATTCGTTCGATGACCAGCAAACCTTGGCAGTTAGTGCTACGATTTTTGAGGGTTTGAATGGTTGGCGGAAACTGATCAGTATCACGCCAATAATAACCGCTAGCACAAGCGCATTCATTGTTAGCACACGTTGAATGTGATGGGCATTTGAATTGTTCGTCACAGTAATTAGGATCTGCAAAAGTTTTTCAGGTAAAATATTCCAAAGTAGGCATTTGTGATTACTGATGAACTGAGAAACCAATCGCTCATAGTGGTAGTTAACACTGCGATATACTTCGTTTTTTTGGATAAGGACACAGTGGCTAAACATAACCATATATTTGAACTGCACGAAAACTGTATATTTGGATATGATATCTCTGAAAAAACAACAATTTTAAAAGAGATAGACTGGAGTCATTCAAGTTTTTTTTTTCAAATGCAATAGCATGTCTTGTTTGCACAGAAGGGCATTCGTATCTATCAGTTGAAAGAAATATTTAAAAAGAATAATTTATAGCCTCATGAACATTCACAAAAACAATGCTTACAAACGCATTTAGTTGAATTAATCGATATCAACGGAGGTGAGCACATGCAACGGTAGAATGGTGCCTTATCGATACTGGTACATTTGCCAGCACCACATATTGAAGAATACTTCACACACATATTTTCGCCTGAAAGCTGTCGACAAATCGATCTTGAACATTCTGAAGCACATTCGACAAACAGTAGAATTTGATTGATTCATTCATTTGTTCGAGTTCTTGAGCATCTGATGAGGTCGTTTGACGATCAAATTTAATTAATCGGTATTACTCATTTGCAAATTACATGACGTTCTAGAAGTAACCGAGCTAGTCAAGAGTTCTTTATCAGGAAGTCTGTGACAATGAAACAAATAAGCTAGTTTTCCTAGCTAAACTTCTGGCTATAAAAAAATCAGTTTTTATGAACTAAGAAGCAACTGAAATATAATCCAGTTTCTTGTTCGAAACATGTCTCACTAGTTCACATAGCTATGTTTGAGATAATTATGATGAGCAAACGTCATTGTGTTATTCGTGATGGTGATGTCGTTTGTAATAAACGGTTTGGAATTGATACGTGAAGTAATTCATTATTGATCTTGGTAAAATAATTCATCAATTCAATATAATTACGTTGGCATTTTGGTCGCAAAGAATGCGTTGCAACTGCAGGAGTGAAACCGTGTTCACATTCGCATTTATACGATCCGAAAAGGTTGACACATTTACTGTGCTGAAGACATTTATTACTACCATCCTCACATTCATTGCGATCTAAAAAAGACCGAAGTTAAAATTTATCCAGATGCATAAAATTTAACCAGAGGCCTTAAACGTAATTGGACGGAAAATAATGAGAAAAAATTATCACAAAAAGTCCTTCGGTTATTACCTGAGGATATCTATCAATTTGTAACAACCTATGTGTTTCAGTTAGAGTTAGGAACGTGGGAAAGAGGAGCCTTCTGTCTTACACTGAAGAATTCGGAGTCCTTTAACAATATGGAGGGAGGATGTTTTTTGTTTGTAATCGATGCTGAATCAATTACAATTTATAAACGATCCTCAACTGACAAAATGATTTTGAATATACTGCATATTAAGAAATCCCTTGAATCCTGGCGGTCTCATTCCTGCAAACGTTTGTTCTTCTCTGGTTTTCATTGCTCTTGTTGAATAGCTTATTCCAGATTGATTTGCATTTGATGTTTGGATCTAGACAAGAACGATGCTTTGAAATTTCGATATCGCTTTGGATGTCATCTGTGTGATACTTAGACATGTTCACTGTACTCTCACCATTATCATTTACTTTAAATTTGATTAAATTCGTTCACAAATGGATGTGTTATTATCTTCGCAATCCACGTTCATATCAGTCATTGCTGGAAAACGAGGACGACCGGTACTCCCCTGGGAACTTCACGGTTGGGGCCCCATCCTATGAATTTCCGGCCTTTTCAGCTCCGCTACCTATGGCGTGGTACCTTGCTCAAATTTCCCCGTTCCTAACTCTATTCTCACTGGTTCATTGAATAATCCGACGAGTTCACCTTCGCAAGTGTCTCCTTTCGGAATAAGACCATATTTACATTCACATTTATAACTGCCAACTGTATTGACACATGTTTGGATTTGTGAATCACAATGGTTTTCACCTGTTTTACATTCATCAGCATCTGAAATGCTCGCTCTGACAATGAGTGCACTGATTTTACTTGACGCAAAACAAAAATGTCACGACAGTTCATATGCTTAAATTTGCTTTACAAAAAAATAGCTTGTTTGACCATTCATGCAGCTATTCCCGAACGTCCTTGAACTATTCTTCAACAGAGTTCTGCGCGAAAGAACAACCGAATCTTTCCGAAAATGCTCTTTGATTGTGCGCAGCATATTGGCCGTTTTTTCATGGAACAGTGCGCCACTCAGAGTATTTATGGAGTATCTTAAGAAAAGCGAACGAACACCCCAACCAAAAAAACTCGCTCACTGACCGACGCATGTTCTGCCGTCACTTTGCAATTCAAAACCTGGTTGACATGCACACAGATAACTCCCTAACGTATCTTTACAAATACCGTTCAATGGATCGCATGCTGATATTGGTGCATCAGGACCGAGCCCAACGATGCATTCGTCTATATCTGAATAATGAACGTTCGAATATACTCTAATATTTCGAATAACACTGAATTATCAACGTTCCTGTGATCTGCTCAACACTAGAACGCCAATATAGCAGTGAAATGCACGAGACAAGTTATGGTATGTAAACTGTCTTGAGAAGACAGTTTACATACCCCCACCATATTGAGGCCAGTTTGAATGATGACCGCAAGAAGTCTCATTTGCTTCGTTAAGGAATAAATGACTACATCCATTTCAAAAATCGTTTGACTAGTTAGTCATAATCATATTTTGTTGTCCGAGCTAATTAATTTTCATGTTATCATCTACTGCTAACTGAACATAGGTATATTTTCAACTCTATTTCGGTGATTTAAAATACGAATGAAATGAAACATTCGAACGCTCGCTTTCAATAGAGTTATGAGCGATCTACTTACTTGCACAAACTACTTCGCCATTTTCTGTTCTGTTGATAAACCCAGGCAAACATCTGAAACGACACAACTGATTCAGCTGAAATCGGGGCGATTTCGTGGTTGATTTGTATCATTTCAGTTTCGTTCGCACCACAACGCCTTTCCTTATAGCGCTTTTGGGTGATCTGATCAGCACTAGGAGAGCGTTAAAGCAATGAAAAATAATTGTCGAAAGAATGAGTTTAAAAAACAACCTGCAAACATATCCATGATCTAAATCTTCACATCGACTATATTGAGGACAAACTGCGATGCCTTGTTCGCATTCATTTATGGTAGTACATGACTGCAACCCTGAAAGTATTCATTCTGTAGTTATCTATTGTCCAGGCAATATGAAGAATACTTGGTTGTTTCTGCCATAACGATTAATTTATGTAGCTTATCAACGCTTAGCTTTATGTAGCTTTGATTCCACTCCTTACCCATCACGTCCAGATTGAATTCGGAGAAATTTTAAAACACTTCATTTGAAAAATTCAACTATGCAACATCTTTCATGTGCAACAGCGGGAAACACCAAAGATATATATGTACGTGATTCAAGGCTACCGATTACAACTTGTTCTGTCGCACACAACAAAACGTCTCAATCGAATCCATTTGTTCAAATCACTAAATTTCGAGTTAAGCCTCTAACCAGGCGGATGCTGATATCCCTTGTCACAATCGCACTGATAGCTTCCAATCGTGTTTCTACAAATCTGGTTCGGGAACGGACACACCCCATTAAAGCCTTTACATTCATCAATATCTGTAAAATTGGCTGAAATTCATTTCGAACAAAATGCTCATCGTACTCACATTACTCGAATTCAAATTCATTTTTGCACAATAAATCTTTTTGTTGAAGCATAACTTTCAACAAAAAAATTAACCCTCGCTATCATGAACGAATATTGACACTTATTGAAAATTGAGCTACAAGGCACATACCATGACATTGTCCAATCTTCCCACTACCGGTGAAACCTGTCTTGCATTCACATTTGAATCGAACCCCATCGATTGCTGGCTGTTTATCGATGCATTTTGCATTCGGATCGCAATCGTTCTCGGACATTCGCAGGCATTCGTTTATATCTGCAAAAGTTAACAATTCAATATCGCTGAAGTAAGTACTCCACACATTAATTTCGCAACTAAATAACTGAAAATTGCACTTACTAGTGCATTTTCCAGCAGCGTTCATTTGATATCCTTCAACGCATTTACACGTATAATACGGTTGATCTCTGAAGATGCGTTCACAAAACGATGTTGCATTATCGCAGAAACTACAATTCCTCACAGCTGCACTGGTCTCATCTTAAATGAAAGAACCCAAAATATCTTCACTGAATTATTGAATTATTCAGAATAAATTATTGAATTCAGAATAAATTAAATTATTGAATTCAGAATAAATTATTCCAATATAATTAAAGACTATTGAAATTAAAAACTTTTCAGACGACTCTTAATCATTTTATACTGTCTTTCATCTTATTAGTTCAATTTATAGACCCTTTAAGAAGTTTTCAATCGCTCATTATATTACCTTTTTCGAAACGCACGGAATATGTCCCGAAATGTATATCCGCAAACTAACTGTTTATTGCCGGCAGAAATTCCCTTTTAGCTCTTGAGAAATCATCAACCCCAAACGAGAGCATAATGGTGAAGAATGCCCTTTTCAGGTCGTTTTTAATTTATTCATTTTTGATCGAGCGAGGCAGTTTTTCGAAGCGTTGCGAAGTTCAAATGACGAAGACTCACCGAAACATGGTGCGTTTGGATTGAGTGCGTTTTTCAAGGATTTCACGAATCCTTGCTTGCACTTGCATTTCGCTCTACCGTATTCATTGAAACACTCTGTACCAGCGATGCTGGCACATGGATTATGACGAACACACGGATTCAAGGCTACAAAAAAAGATCTTTCTCACTGTTAAGGTCGCACAAAATTAGGAGATTCTGTAAGGGTGTACAATGCGCAAAATGGAGTCATATACTTATGAGTGACCAGAATTACGAATACTGTTATTGTGAAAGCGAAAAATTGCTCAACGCTATCAAAAAGAACGCATATTCCTCTGCACAACTATATGCGAAGAGCAGTATAAACCTACTCACAATTCACTATGGGTGGAAGATGAAAAGAACAATCATTGGACTGTCAAAAACGATAGACAATTTTCGAATGGTCAGATGCCTCAAGCTAAAATAAATGTTACATCACCGTTTTTTGTTTCATTTCTTTGTCGTTTCAGCGCTAAAAATTCGCCTTTGGGCACAGACTTGAGTGGCATATTGATCCGAGTACTCATATATGACATAGCTAATCAACTGGACGTTTCGTTCAAGACATACGAGAAATGTGTGTGAAACAAATGTTACAAAAGGTCGTCACAATGACTGAAATCGTTACGAGTGCACTGTTTGCCGTCACCACTGAATCCGTTATTACATTTGCATTCATAGCTTCCAGGCAACTCGATACAACTGGCATATCCTGGCCTTTTATCGCAATCGTTCAGCGCAGGATCCATACAGTTCTGAATGTGCACACAGCGATTCGGATCTGTTGACTGTTGTGTTGTGAAACCATCCTTACAAACACATTTGTAGCTGAATTAATGCAGTATGCTATTCATCATTCTAGAAAATCAACATAAATGTAATTGTATTATGACATTCGAGAAGCAAAACGATCAGTTCGATGATCAACAAGAAGAGTTATGCTATGCAACTGACCCATCATTTGCGCTGTTCAACAAACAATTCGTGCTCGCATTATCGCATTTTCTGCACCAAAAGCTTTTGTCTGCTGGAAACGTATTAAACATGCAAACTTTTATGTACCTTTCGTTAAATTTGTAACATCGCCAAAACCACTGCTCACTTCAGCCTTTCATTCCTATCAAAACAACTGCAGAACAGAATTTTCAGTTTTCCTGCGAATTTTATGGAATCTAACAATGTACAGTTGATAATTAGTGCAATGAACGTACGTATGCATAGCGTGTTGTCATGGCTCTCGATAAAACCTTTCTTACAAACGCATTCATAACCACCCTCAGTATTGAGACACCTCGAATTACCGGTACATCGATTCGGCATTTGGCATTCATCTATATCGAAGCATTCACTGAAACTGATCTCTGTTTATCTTCGGATTTTTGTTGTTTTTTTTTTGAACATTCTTCGCAGAATAAATAATCGGGAATCCGACTTATAATCAGAACAGCTGATTGACATCGTCCGATTTAACCCAGGAGAAGAAGGGGAACAGACATTGTTCACGCAAGGATTACTTAATTGCTTGCGGCTACCTTTTTATATAGGGTGCATGCTATATCTCGCCTTAATCAAAACAAGTTTAACTTGATGATTCCTGTGGCATTTTCGTTATGAAGGTGCATATTCCACTGATGAAAAATAAATAAAGTTAAGGTTAAACCATGATTCACACCGGATCGACATCAACCAGAACTACGTTAATATTTATTCAGAACTGATGTTTCGGCTCCTTAAGCCATAGTCACAGCAAAGCTGTATTTTAGGCAATTATGACAAGTGTCATTTCCAAGCGATAATTTTGAGTGAGATGAATCAATAAGAAAGAAAAAATGGACTACGTTCTGTTTTTGTTTGCTTTTGCGAATCCGGGGAAGCATGAGCAATAGTATGATCCAGGTGTATTCACACACTTCGCATTCTTGCCACATATACCCCTTAGAGCGCACTCGTTGGTGTCTGAAGAGAACAACTCCATTAAGGAATGATCAAGTGGAATGGTTCGGTAGTGATTCGATCACCAATAAATACCAATAGTTAAAATTATTTGATATCATTAAGATTTCACGCCAATTAACAATGAGTTATTTAGGTTCAGTTTACTCAGCACTTTAAACCGAAGGCAAATCGTTTGATGATCGATGCTGTGAAATGAACATCCGAAATCGAAAAAGAACAAAGTAAAATGAACCTTTGCATTTACGCCATTCATATCCCCCGTCAGGATCGCCTCGCCAACCCTCTTTACATTCACATGAATATTTCAATCCGTTGTCTTCTATCGGTCTTTTGTTGACACACACTGCGTTTGGACGATCGCATTTACTCAACGTTTCATCGCTGCATTCGTCAATATCTGTAATCATCGACATTCAACGTTATTCATCGCTGAATTCTTTGCTATAAGCAGCTCTTTGTGGGTGTTATCCTCAATGCAGATGACGCAAATACGAACTCGATTCATTCAATTGTTCTGTTTTGCATGGATGTGTTACAACGTAATGAATGTAGCTGATCACAATGAATGCTTCAACAACCGCGCATATAAAAACAACCCTAGTGTAGGTGCTGTAGGAAGTGAACAAACATACCTTTACACGTAAATCCATCTCCAGTGTATCCTTTGCTAGGATCGCATTTAGCACAAGTATAACCATGTTCGGAATGCATGGTTGGCGGTAGGCATTTTGATGCTTTGTGACACGCAAACTTACAACTACTGCATAAATCTTCAGCTGAAATTACATTTTACAGAGCAGGATCTCCATGGGTGGGGGGGGGGAGGACTACCCATTTTGGGGTAATTTGGAGGTATCAGAGGGGTGATGGAGAGATTCGAGAAATTGGTTCTGATGTTATCAGCGGAAACAGTAAGTTATTGCAGCGGGGGAGGGTGGGGGTAATGACGGCCTGCCAGACCAACGAAGAGGGTAATGGAACAGCCCAGCATGGGGACCATTGTTATAGAGAGAGCCGTTTCTATCCTGAAAGTGTGATCCGTATAGAATATCTATACGGATTACGATTTTTGATCTTCGACAAACCACCTGATCCTCAACAAATTCGATGAAATATTACCAAATTTTTCCATCACGTTTTTGGACAATCTTTCCTTCCCCTATACTGCGCGAAAATGCAGAAGAAAACGAGAAGAGTACGGTCATTGAAAGGTTAGCTGCATGTCATCAATAAAACACTATCCATCAGCAAATGTGACAGGCTGATTATAAGAAGCTTTGCAAAGTAGCATATCAATTCAGTTAAATTTTCTTGGAAACATTCAGCAAACGCTTACGCAGGCAAATTTTTTTGCCATCCTGAGTAGTGTTCATATGAAAACCAGCCGCGCATTCACATGTCATTTGGCCAACAGTCGGCTCTAGGTGACATTCCGTGTTCACACTTGAACATCGCTTCATGAACTGCTCGCTCAAGTGATGATCGCACGGAATTTCTTCAACAAAAAGTGCAATACATAATCGTATTATCGTTCCATTGATTATCATGTCACTGATTTCAACAGTTTGAAAACACTGACTAAACACGAAAACCACACAACAATTCCGCGATCATCTTCATACGAAACTGATATGTGCCAACCGATTGCAAACACCTCGCGAAATTGATAATTTACAATCTCTTCATCAGTGCATAATGAAATCAGGTGCTCATGAAAGCAAAAGTTTAACGTGCATGCACCTCTCGTTCAGGGATGAACGGGAAATGGATAGCACGAACGGAAAACTCACTGCATCTGAATCCATCACCGATGCCATTCGGTTGATTACAGTCGCACGAAACGCCTACATGAGCGTGTGTATTTGCTCTAGGCTGACCAAATGCACAAAGGTTCTCATTCAAACGATGTGTGTATATATCGAAACACTGATCCTTTCTCCACGTGACCTGTATGTTGCGGTTAGACATTCATAACTGAGCGACGGATGAGTAAAACAAAATTTTGAAACATGACTAAATCAACGACCCATCACTACAGAAACTCTGTTGACAGTCACACGAAACGCCAAGGTTCTCCAAAACAGCTGCAGCTTAATGGCAAAATTGAAAGAAGGACACTTCTTGTCAGTAAGATGACCCACCACGTTCGATGTTTGTTCCCGATGTTGTCCTAAAAACAACTAAATTAATAGCAATAAACGATGAAGCAATTGCTTCATCACATGGATTCCCTGAAATGATCCTATCAATAGTTATGCGCAGCTATGATTCGGAGGCATGCATGAGTGTTAGATGTTGGTCGTGGCCGTCGAAACATTGTTGAACGATGCTACGTGATTGCGAAATCGGTGACTCCATGCACTGCACGGCAAGCATGTATCGTTCATCTGTAACAAGAAAAAAGCAATAAGTGTTTTTCGACGATTCACTAACGATAAAATAAAACACTGCATTTGCCGAATGAATTGAAAGGTTATTTCGCGATGTTGTTCTCATGTTCCATGTTGCACTACTGCAGCATGAAGCACTGTTTCAAGTCACACTATTTCACACAACAAATTCCCTGAACACGAAATATTACATCAGTTACTGTGTCGGATTTAAGCGCAATATACAGTAGACCTTATGCACTCCATACAGGTATGCGTTACTGAGAAGATTTGAAATCTCAAATGTGTTGACATCAGGAATGGTGCACTTCCCGATCGACTCTCTCCGGGATGATCAGTTTGTTGTATGCCTATCACTCAATGAGCCACAATTTCTTCACTGATGTAAGTCATATGTATACACAATATACAGTAGATGTCTGGATCGTGGGGTATAAAATCATTATCCTTGGCTATAAGAAGAGACGGGCTAAACACCCCGTAAGATCAGGTTAAGTCGTTTTTGGCTAAGGCTCATCGCGGGGTCTTAGCCCGAAACTTACCCTATGACCAAGGTTCATCTCATGTTCTCATAAAAGACTGAGCCACAACAGTGAGACTCCTGCTGACGTTTATAGCACCGTTCCTTTCCATGAAACATGTTAACAATAAAATTACCTATTCGCCTCCGTGTATCCAAAACACATTATCAATGTACTGTAAATTCTTACCTTTTATCCAATGTCCTAGGTTAAGAACCAGAGCACAAACAGCGTGCCGATGATTGTGTGTGTTTGAAGAAGTGAGGAAATGGAATGAATCCGACAGTTTCAGTTGTTCCACCGTACAGTATTTCATCATCAACAGTATCGAGTCACCTGAGATCGTTACGATGCACATTTATATGATTCTAATTGCCTTCGATTTCATAACGATATTAAAGCATCCTCATTGTTGATTTCGAGAATATCTTTCGACTTTTCTGAACAAATTCTCAAATTTTCTCTCATAAATTGTTTTTCAATTGAATATCACTGAATATGTTTAAACGGCAGCGAACGCGAATGAAAATTGCTCATATGCATCAATTATCATTCCTTTTTCTCTCTTCAGTTTTCACAACGAAATTTTTATTGCTAAATTAAATTTTAATAGCTGTCACGAAGAAATTTTATGCGTTTGCTTACTCAATGCAACTGGGCGGACCAAATCTCAAATTTGTCAGCATCCATCCGAATTTTTCTTTAAACTAAATGAAATTATTTTGCCACATTTTTTTCTATAAAAATTGTTTGCGAACATTGCTCCTCTCTTCATCAAAATATCGCCATCTAAAATTTTATGAGAATTATTTTTTTGGATGGCTGATTTGCTTAATTGCAAATTCGGTGAATTCATATTGAGCGTTGTCACCCTCTTTCACATTGATTTCATTTGTCATTTGTATTGGTCGTGGTAAGTTCGGCTTGAAGTGTTCGATTGTCTTTCATATCGCACTGGTCGCTGTTCAAAATGCACCTATGATCCGAGGAGAAATAATCAGATATTGCACCCGCAAACACCGAATACGTGAAGCAATGATCCAGCAAGAGCAGGCGAACTTTGCACGATATAAACTTGATTTCTAGTGGAGAGGGAGGCTTGGGTTCACATTGGCCTATTATGATTGTGGGTACTGAAGGACGATTGAGGGTACTGATGACAAATGATTTGTGCCTTGTGATTTCGTAACGTTTTATGCGCTTCAAATGAGAATTGAATAAGGATACAGATGAACAAGCAAGGGATTGGTGCATTCCATCGAATGATCCATCACCTTACATGGACGAGGAATGCGGCTAGATGAACAGAGAAGAAGTCTAGTAGTAAGAGACTTGTATCGAATAAGTTTTCTTCACTACTGAAGTCTGGAAGTTGCATATTCGGCACCGAGAATGATGTTTCTGGGGGTGTCGAGGGAAGACATATATTCGGCCACAAGGGATGGAGTCGATCACGCCTGACTATTTTGCTCAAGTTTGGCGCGAACATCTCTGAAAGCTTAAATGAACCAGTGGAATTGTCTTCTGATATGCGTTCTGAGTTACTGAGGAATTGAGATTTATGGTTAATGAACTGTGATGGCAGACGACGGAATTTCGGTTAGGTAAACCCGAAAATTTTCGGTCGAATTGCGAAAATTTTCGGATTTTACTGACCGAATTAACAGATGGTGTACCCAAATTCTAATTCGGTCGGATTCCGTCTGAGGAATTTCGAGGTCCGATCTTTCTACCGAACTTTGGAGTTTCTAAAAGAGGATTGGTCTAATTCCAACCGAACCTAAATTTTGCTCGGTTCCCATCACTGTTAGTGAGTATGTAAATGAACATTCAATGAGAAAGGAAATTAATATTTTACTATCTTTTCGTATCATTAGAGTCAGTAATCTTCGTTCGTTTATTCACGTATTAATTCATTCTTCAACCATTTTTGTTTGAATTCATAAAAAATTTAAAGGCGTTCAGAGGCGATTTCGCAGACTCAATTTATCATTAGCAAATGATTTCTTTATTTAATAGTCGTCAGGCTACCTGTGAATCATTTTTGTGTGGATTTGCATTGTGAGAGAGCGCCGATTTGTTGAGCGAAACAGAATTTAAACATTCACAGCGTATGTTGAGTGTGTCTGATTGAGTTTCGAAAAAACGAATCGTTCCATTGAAAAATAATGTTGTTCAAGAAGAAAAATTTCTGATACGATGAGAAGGTGAATTTAAGGTGCAATAATGTTGATTGAACAGTTGCTAAAAAAGATAACAAAATTGCCGACAGTTGCTTATTGCAGATCGTTGTGAGTTTGTTTATTATTCGATGCATTTTGTTGCATTTTTATTGATCTCTTTGCGAAGAAGACGTTTTTTCGGTCATATTTCTCAAGCATGCACTTGATTAGCGCGTTGAATGGAAGAAGAGAAGTTCGCGTGATGGTTGCAGATCGCAATGGTTTTCAAACGTAAAAATGGGGCCACCAGATCCAATTCTAGGTGTGACCGAGGCGTATAAATTAGACAAAAACCCAAATAAAGTGAACCTTGGTGTTGGTGCATACCGAGATAATTCGGTTGGTTTTCTCAGCAAACGTTAAAATCAGTAATTTGTTTCTCTGCGAAGCTTATCATACCGTACATCATACACTCAATCCATACCGTACACCACTCAAGTCAATGTGAGCGATCTATTCAAGGCAGGAATGTCTGCTTGATTTATTTTTCAAGTAATTGAGTTGTGGTAATCAATGTTGTTTTCTAGGGCAAACCATATGTGCTGCCATCAGTACGAAAAGCAGAAGAATCAATAATGGACGCACATATGGATAAAGAATATGCTGCTATTTCAGGCATACCTGAATTCACGCGATTAGCTGCACAGCTTGCGTTAGGTGAACGATCGTCGGCGATCAGTCAACACCGAAATGTCACTGTTCAGAGTGTGTCCGGCACTGGTGCCTTGAGGATTGGAGCCGAATTTCTGGTGGGTCTATGGTAATTTCTGATGGCGTGGTATTCTTAGCATTGTTCAGATAGGTCGAATTCAGCCGTGTTGTGGCACATTGCAACGATTCATTCTTGCAGCCACACTGATGCGTTGAAACTCATGCAAAAAGCTACAAAAATGGTTGCTTTATGAATTAAATTTATTTGCAGGCGAAATGCTTGGATGGCCCCAAAGTTGTTCATATACCAATGCCGTCTTGGGGCAATCATGTATCAATTTTCAGGCAATTATTTTTTCATTTATCAGTCGATTTATCTGGCCAAAAAATGTTATTACAAAATTCGACACTAAAGTATTTCGAATTCGAGGCCTGTGAGATCTGTTTATTTTTGAATATCGCCTCAGAATGTATTCAGAATACATGACTGAGTTTAATGAATGTCTTTTTTCAGCTGTTCTGGTTTCGAGGTGAAGCGATATCGATACTACAATCGAAAAACATGCGGATTTGATGAATCAGGTGCACTCGAGGATGTATCCAAAGCACCTCGGAACTCAGTGATTTTATTACATGCATGTGCTCACAACCCTACTGGAGTTGATCCGAAGGTATTATTGGTGAAATTGTTGATCATCTCGTATTACCAAAACGATTGCCTCAAACTGAGATAAGTCCAGATTGCATCCTTCTAATGATCTAAACTCCTTCAAATTCAATCGCATGGTATTACATCTTCAGCGAATACATTCTAGATTTGTTGTTTTTTTTTTCTTTTCAAATTTGTGAATTAAACTCGAATGAAGGTTTATGAGAGGGAAAATTTCGTCTACTTGTCCGAATTAGTTTTTTGAAGAAACAGTGATGTAGGGCATATCTTAAAAATTCGGCCCAATTTTTTACCTTTTCTTGTAGAAGTATTTTAAGTATCCAGAAAGCCATGTTGATGTAGAGCAAACAATTTTTAGCTTGAGCAATGGAAGAAACTCGAAGAGGTGATTCGCGAAAGAAAATTGTTGCCGTTCTTTGATATGGCATATCAAGGGTTCGCGTCGGGATGTATTGATCGTGATGCGTTTGCAGTCAGATATTTCATTGACCGAGGCAACTGCGTTGCATTAGCGCAATCATTCGCCAAAAATATGGGACTATATGGTAATTCACTGGATAACTGTTTCGTGAGAGGATTACAAAATGAATGCTTCTATATTACTTCTATATTATCCTACAAATTATTTGTTCATTCACCGATCGAACTACGGAAACGAATTGAATTCGCTTTGTTTAGGCGAGCGCACAGGCGCATTTACGTTGGTGTGTTCATCAGAAGAAGAGGCGTTGCGAGTGATGTCTCAGGTAAAACGAGTTATACGTCCGATGATCTCGAATCCCCCGATTCATGGTGCTCGAATCGCGGCTACAATCCTTGGCAATGCCTCATTGAAAAAACAGTGGTGAGTTACTTTAGAAAAATCCAATTATTATTGTAAATTTTTCATTGCGAATATTTCGATCTTTTTTATATCCAGTGTCATTCTCACACGAAAACCGCATAAACTTCGCGCCTGCCGTGTGTGTGTTGTTGTTGATTCGGAAAGAACACTGCAACATTCTAATAATTTCTTCTGTGAATTTTTTGAATGATGCAATTTTTCCCCTGATTCAGATAAGTCATCAATCTGTTTTGCTCATTGAAGGCTTAAAGAAGTTAAAGAAATGGCCGAAAGAATAATCTCAATGCGCCTTCATCTCCGAGATATCCTCAAAATGGAAGGTTCTACTCGGAATTGGCAGCATATAGTTGATCAAATCGGAATGTTTTGTTTCACTGGATTATCACCCGAACAAGTCAGATTTTTGAACGTAAATCCGCCATTCATCCTAGTTCCTTGTCCCTTCACAAGTGTATCCCTGAATATATGAGCAGCGACATATGTGGCACAATGACAATAGCTTGTAATGAACGTTTTTAGACAGCATCATATCCAAATTCGTTGTCAAGGAATTTCCATATAATCGAAGTCATAGTTTTTGATGTGTTCCACTATTTCATGGCAATAAACTAAAGCAATATTCCAGGTTACTCAATTGACGAAAGAGTTCAGTATCTACCTCACGATGGATGGACGTATTTCAATGGCTGGCATCACAACCGAAAATGTAGCTTACGTAGCGAGAGCAATGCATATTGTTACGCAATAATTTCAAAAACAAAAATTCTTGTTCGAAGCAATTTTCTGTTATCTGTTCGAATATTTTTGGTGGCATATTCCTTTCAAGCGAATGGATATGTTTTTGAAAGATATTACCATCACGATATAAAAACACTTCACAAAGATCAATTCGTATGTCGTACTTAAGGTAATAAAAATGAGATGAAAAATCTGTTATAATGATTCATCAAAATAAGATTTTTATAATTTTTATACAAAAATAATCTGCAAAATGAGAACAAAACGAAAATATCGAGAAAGAAATGTTATATCAAAGAAGGCACACATGAGAAACGTAGTATAAACGGAACGGAACGGAACGCACTGAAAGTAGAAAACTAAAAAGTCTCGAGCGTTCTTCAATGATATTCCCGACAGATACATGAGTTAAACGCTCTCAAATAAATCAAAGTAGTCATGTTCATGTAAGTTCGATAGATATTTGATGCTATTTGTCATCTTCGTTGCTACATACCGAAAAGCAAATATTTTTATAAGTTCATGTTAGGCGAAGTGTTGTCGAATGCAAATCTCTTCGCCAAGCACAACAATGAGTAAATCAATTTCAGAACAGTTCACGTGAATGATCAAGGTTATGTAACTGTGCCCAGTGACACGATCGTTCTTCCTGATCACTAGCGCATCAGAAAGACTTTGAAACTGGGAACTCGATTGAAGAAAGTGAATGTACACTATTCCCATAAGCTTATGGCTTCGCATGTATTTGTAATGTTCGATTAACCAACAAAGGCAATAATCGAATCGTTACAAATGAAGCGAATGAATAAGTTGCTTGAATGGTTACCTAACGCAATTGCGTGATCATACCCGTTCATGAATTGGCATTTCGTATACACTTTCATTCGAAAACGTCAATTTTGTTGGTTATTTAGAGTGCAGCAAACGATTTGCATGTGATGAATGCTCAAAAAGTGTGAATCATTCGTGAGATGAACGTTAAGTAACCACTACTGAAAGAAACATAATGGATAAGACTAGAAGACTGCATCAAATAAGCACTTCGAATATGACGAACAAACAACCAATAAGCGGAAATAAAAGTCGCAATCCACCATTCGCACCGCTCACTTGTTGTGGAGCCTCTTCCACCGCACTCTCCTGAGGAGCCACTTCTGGTACATCCGCGATTTCATCTTCAACCGGTGACAATGGTTCGCCTTCTGTAAGACAGTCAAAGAATCCATAGCATAGACCTTTCGAATGCGTTTAGAAAATCGCTTCAACGATTATAATCGGCACAAACCGCTGTCGAAACATTTCTCTTGATCGCTTAGGTGCATGACGTTTTGATGCCGGTACTTTTATGTCTAACAGAAGCATATAAAAGAGCTTGATAGAAAACGACTTTAACAATGAATGAAAAATCCTAATTATAGCAGTTTTTGATGCAGACACTGCTGAAAATTTTCCTTACATAGAGTCCATTCAGGAAAGTAAATGGTAGTTCAGTATACTGGGTAGACGGACACCTAATCCCAAGATAAGCCTCGGCATAACCACGGATAGGTTTCAGCTCAATCCCGGGTGAGCCTCAACCTAAGTCCGGTATAAGTCTCAAACTAAACTCAATATGCTTCGGCCTAATGTCGGTGAAGCCTTAGCCTGAACCCAGAATAATCCTAAGTGTGAGCACAAGTCTGATCGTGAATTTAAACTTATGCCTAAACTCAATTGTCTGTTAATTATGAAAAATGAAAAGGCAAGTTTTTCACAGACGATATGCGTATGGAAGAGGATAGGACAAATTCTGGTAGCGACGAAATAAACCATCAAAACCCTGATTGTTCAGTTTAGCGCATCTTTTATTACCATCTGAACAATTAAAACGATGCGTATCTATGTTTCCAGACTGGAACGTTCAGCAAGAGTTGAAACGATTCAATTTTCGAACCCGAAATCAATTGTTCGACTGCAGTTATTGAAACTAGTGCGTCAAAAATTTTAACATGGAAAGATAGCAAGGAAAAATTTGGCCATCATCATACCTTCTTCAAGATCAGCGGACGGCTCCATTTCAGAGTGATCAACTTCGCCCTTCTCATTGACCGGTTCGTCACGTTCTTGCTCGTCTACTAATGACTCTTCAACTTCTTCCAGTTGTCGCTCCAATGAATCTTTACTTTTTTCACTGTCAACCACGTGCTCTTCTTGGTCCAAATCCTCTGCTATTTCATCGTCCATTTCATTCACCGTTGAAATGCCGCATGTCAATCCCGTGTATCCATCGTTACAAACACATTTACCACATTGACAAACCCCGTTGTTACTACACATCGACTTAAACAACAGTAATGTTTTTATGTTTCATATCTCAAGTTCTTACAGCTTACATTACTGTTCTCTGATAGTTACATTTTCAATCATTTGAGCAATCTTTTCATATCGACAGATCAGCTGCCATACATTTGAATTTGTCTCGCTAGGAATTGCATACTCAACCGCCAAGAGACAGAAGAACGTGATCGTAACGCGAAAAGTTGCATGAACTAACTATATTTTTAAACTGTTGTAAGTGAAAGAAAAATTTCTGAAGTACACCGCAAACCGCATTATTTACAAAATTTACACATATGTTATCAGTGATCATAGAGTGTGAGATCTAAAATGCACTCGATTTGAATTCTACAATAGAAAAGACGCACATCGCCTTCCATGCAACGTGACGTATCAAGACTGCATGAACAATCGTCGCCAGTGAATCCCTCTTCGCATAAGCACTTCCCACATTGACATTCGCCTTGCCCTCCACACAACTGACCGTCAACAGTGGGACACGACAACCCTTCGCATTCACAGTATTGACCAGTTATCTTCAATTAGCGTCAATTTACTTCACAGAAAGTACGACTGGTCAGTTTTTTAACGTAGTACTATCATTCTGAACACTTTTTGCTGAACAATCGCACTGTGAAAAATACGAGTGACTGCTCAGATTCGCTCCAGATGTATTGCTGAACGCAATATTATCAGACGAATGCAACAACTCTCTTCGCACCATCCCCGATAAAAGTTTCATCAGAAAGCGAAGAGGGAATGAACGAACCGACTCAGAACTACATTGACATTGTCCGCATCGACATCGGCCGTTCCCGCTGCATATCGGCTCATTCGGCCCACTAAGAACACGAAAAATCCAATCAACAAACAATAAAAAGTGAGTCACAATGAAAATATGATTAAATACCGCTAATGATATAGCACAATTAGAATAGTATACTGTATTTGATTCTGTGGTGAAAATTTTGATAGCAGATGAGGATATGATCATTCCACTTGGCGATTCATGTCTATTTCCAGTAGTAGCATGAATGAAGTGGAATTAATTTGAACGGTGAAATGAAAGATTGATTGAAAAAGCCGAACCTACGGCATCGATCGTCAAGTTCGGCAGGACTTCTAGCACCATACTGTTTCAGGTCGCACTCGCAGTTACCACCTCCTTTACCAGGTTGACATTCACATACACCACATACCAAATCACCGAAACCATAGCACAGAGGAGAACGTTTCTCCTGAAGTGATGGGGATGGCTCACAATACGAATATTATTTTGTTCAATTGCTTCAGAAAGGGCAATGACTTCATAGACGCTCGTGTCTGATGCATCAATTCCGTTTGAAGTGTGAATTCAATCAAATTACTCACTTGATTTTGAAGCTTTTCGCAATCGCATCCACAAAGCGGCGTGATGAACATTGCGGATACAGTATGATAACCGTAAGCACCAATTGATATAGCCACATCACCCGATGCTTTGCACTCATTCAACGATACCTTCGCAAAAAACTCAATCACTTCTCCATCTCTTACGTTCGCGCATTGTCTGCCTTGCACTCGATGTCTGCAACGGTCGTTATTTTTCAGCAATTAATTACTGCTCTGAATAACATCGCTGTTCACCTCTCCGTATAATTTTTCTAATTTATGCTGCAACTCCAACTGTGCAATTTGGGTTGCCATAAATTACAGTGTTAATCATTATTGACTGCGAAAGTAGGTATCGTACTAAACACGTTTATACTCCAAGTAAAATTTGACAGCAGCAATAGCAACGATAAAGGACACTCAAGCAAGTGAGCAAAGGTGCGTCTTGCAAAAATGCTTGCGAAAATTCTCGCGTTTTGCTCGCAGAAATTTTTGCTCAAACTGCTCTCATTCCTCATTTCAAAATGAGTGAAGAGCAATGCTTCAGCTTGATGCATGTTCGTCTCAAGGGTAGTGTTCGTTAACGAACAACAATCTATATCAACTGGCTCGGATGAGACCATCAACGAGTCAACAAAACAAACCCGTGACAGTGCACAGAAAATTCTATGCCAATGCCGAGTGATCGAAATTCACTTGTTTGAACAACGAAGTCTTTTTGATTGGAACTTGATCGATGCAGATACTTGAATGGTACTTCGACAATGTCACCTGAAACATGCTCAAGAACTGTTCCATTGCTCACCAATCCACTAAAATAAATCAATCGAAATTCAAAAATGATCCGTGTCAATTCTACAAGAGTTGTGTGTCTGAATGACTACTCACCGGGTTTCATTCGCAAAATCACTTGTTGTGGTTCTAATTGAATTATCGTTGATCCATCGGCATGTCTACTTCTCAGCGGCAAATTCTGAAATTAGAAGCTACAAAGAAATTACGAACAGCTAACAATTGTTAGTGTTGAACGCAACTCTGTCACCTTCCCCCTTGCGTACTTTTCATAAGAAAATACAGATCGCATCAGAGGATTGCAGTCGGGATCACTAGAATATCATTCAACGTCTTTCAAGCTATGGTCTTCAGAGCTCTAGCTCGTTTCCATTCGAAGTCACCACCTATGTCTGCATCCATATGGAGTCATTCACATCGTGAACGTTCAACGATTTGATCAGCTTTTATTGCAAATACTTACATTTTGTGGTGCGATTTTAATCTCAGTTTTCGGTGAATAAATCAAATTTGCGTTGCATTTACCATCGAACGCTTTAACGTAATCACATCGGAATGGACTGCTTGAATGCTGAAAATAATGACGAACCATGATCCTTTTCGATTAAGACAACTTATTAGTTGTGAAACATTTTTTCGTTCCCGCAAAGAACGTACAAAATTTACAGCTGATTTCCGAATTATGAAATCAGTTTGTAACTAATTTTGATTACTAATAAAAAATGAAATAAACGGTGAACGAATATAATACCGGATCAAGACACCATGCGCATTCAGTGTGCTGTTTTATACATTGTCCACAACTCTTGTTTGCGTGATCACTCCGGCATAATTTCTGAATATCGATCGCAAACACTGAAATGTATTTCGATGCCTGATCATTGCGTTAATCTTGAACCGAACAAAACTCAATTTTGCACTTAATCACACTCTTTTGTATAAACCTTAACTCGATGTAGTTTTTAAAGCATATTAATAAATCTTCTCATCAAAACTGCGGATCAAACTCTCATTTGCTTAACGTTTCTGGTTTAGCGCAATACCATGCATCCCCACCCCTCGAAAAGCGATAACTGAATCCAAATAATAACATATGAACGTCAAATGGGGCTCAGTTTTCGTGACTGTACATGAATGCACTCAGCAAATCGATTGGCAATAAGCGTTGCAGTTCACTCATGTCAAGTAAATGCAATAAATCACAGACTGCCCAACAAAACATTCACAAGTTCCAGAGCAACTGCTACGTATCGTCTGAATCAGAAATGAATGACAACTTATTCATCTCAGTGCTTATTTACTCACTTATCTCAACTAATTCAAGTTTGAAGAACTAATCGGTGTGAGGTTAGTGATGAAATTCGCTTCAAAAAAACCTTTCCATAAGCGTTTTTTTTCACAGATAAGTGAATATAAAAAATAACAATAATTTTCTGTGCTCTGGGCAAAGCACAATATCTCATTTGAGTGATACTTTCTGTCTCGAATGTTTGCGATAAACAGTGTTCGCATATTATCGGCAGTTGCTGTTCAACGACGTTGCATTTCATGCGAACGTCACAGTATCAGTGAAACACGAAGCGTATCAAATTTCACTCACCACACATCGTCACAATTGTTAACGTCAACGTTAGCAGTCGCAGAAACGCCATCCTGGTATCCTGTAAAGTGTTCAAAATTTCTGAATCATGCATTCAAAACACGATTCGATCGCTATGCCAATCTCAGTGCGACATCACCTCATGACGTTGAATGTTAACGTGGATACTGTCAACGATAGATGTGAATAACGCCTATCAATCAAGTTAATAATAAACCGTAACTGCACATTACAACGTTGTCAATACGCTCGAGTTGTCGAGAAATGATTGAGAAACACCACACGTTGAGTGTTGCAAGAGATAAGACATAACATATAACGAAATTCGGAAGTTGCGTTCGATTATTGAATCTTGTATTTTGGCACACCAACAGATCACTGCTCGTCGTATTGATGTCAGATTGATAAGAGAAATCTTTTGTGGCATCAATGATTCAGCGTATTATGCACAACAGCACGGATACATACGACTGATGCTATAAAACAATAAGCCGAGTGTTGCGACAATCATCAGAAATACTCAGAAAGCTTATATTTTGGGGGTCGTTACTCAATCATTTCTCGACTAATGAAAACACTTTACAATAGACAAGTGAAATTTTTTCCGTTCTGAATCACGTCCTCTACGAGATATCGTTTCACAGTCAGCATGAGATGAACAGTAACGATTTGAAGTATGAAAAACCTGATGAGGAGATTTCGTAAATTTCATGAGAAATGTTAGGAATCCTCAGAAGGCGACCTGTAAAAACTTCAGATTCTTATTGATAGATAGCATATCTTACATTGGTTTCCCTGTCGATATAAATTGATGAAACGAGTTGCTTGACGAGTTTCAAATTTTAAGCTGTGAAAAAATAAACATTTGCATGTGACCAAGAAGTACAGCAATACTAATAAAATCAATGATTGAATCGGTGAAAAATCTGTTCGGTTGAGGACATCGATGATTATGAAGTAAGTAATCTTGACCATGCAAAACCACTCGAACACTCCATAAAACGATTTTGCAAAAAAATTTTTTGGAGGCACTTTGATGATGATGAAAGAAGCACTGTGATAAACTTACTCGAAAATGGATTGGATTTGCAGTCAAACAATGAGTAAAATACAGAACGTAACGTTGTGCGTAGTATGATATTAATGGACAGAAGCGATTTTTTTCTGATTGGAAGAACTAATGGAATTAAACGAAATGAAGTTGATTGAGATTTGATTGATTGGGTTTTTTCATTCTCCCGATCAGCAATTGTGTTTTCAATGGGCATTGCTGCTTGGCTGTCTTACGATGCATTTCGTAACGTTCAGAACACCTATTGACTCAATTTCTGATAAACGATATCAGAAACGCATTTGATTTGAACTAAATTAACGACATCAGCTTTCATTAATGGATGATTCAAAATTCACACTGGAAACCTTATTCGCTGAATTCTGTTGGATTTATATAGATGTTCGAAGTGTAGTTAATGTACGGTTTTGCAGTAATTCGTTCAAAACACTTTCTTTGAAGAGATGAGATAAAGAACGATGCATTTTAGTTTGAAATGAAATGAGATATCAAATTTTCTGCTATAGTAGAATACAGTAGCGATTATGTCGTCATGACTATTCACATGTTAAAAGTTTGATGGCTAAAGTAAATTTACGGTTTGACAACAACATTTTTATAAAAGCGTTCGGATGAGAAATGCTATTTGCGAAGAACATGTTCAAGGAAGTGAAATAATGCTAATAGACGAAGCAATTGCTAAGATTATCAATTAAAAGAGAATAGAACAATAATAACACGAGTAACAATAACAGCAAAATATATCGTAAAACAATCGAGCAGTTTTACAACATTGCCCTGAGGTATTATACAAATAACACCATAGAGTTTGTGTACACTATTTGTTTATTGATATGTGCTGCTGATTGCTGAACTTAAAATAGCTTACAACTCTTTTAAACACTTCGCTGCGTTGGAGAAGTCAACAGGAGATTTGATTACTTTCATCAAAATATTTGAGGTTACGCGAAAGCCTCTTGAATTATGAAGTATGAAGTGAACGCTGTTTTTCTTTTGCTATCACTTGAATGGATCATATTATTTATTATCAGCTCATATGCAGTGCGGATTAGAGCTGATTTTATGTAATAGGCACATAACACCATGCTAAAGTCACAGCTAGTGATCACGAAAGAGACTTTCATGTGTTTCATGCTCACTGTTCACTGAAAATTACGATGAATGTTGCTATTGTTATCGTGAAAACGATGACAATTTCTAATCCAGCCAAGGGGCACAATGTTCAACAGGTGTCAGAAATTATTTGATGCATTATTAGCGAGCAATTGGCTCAAATTGATGTGTATAATCAGTGAGCAAATACAAAATGTGCAGTTGAAGACAGATTGCAAGATGTCCGAAATCGATGAAATGCTACATCGAAGTAATCGGTTGACGATTTCGAAACAGTGAAGAAGATTTGATAGACAACGGAAAGGTGGACGATGAACGTAAAGAATAGCTGTCGTATGATAACTTCACTGTTTCTCATTGGCTTCATCAATTCTGAGCATTTCATGAGAGCATTTTAAATATTATTTAAACAATGAAATGCGACAATCTGCGAATAGCATTGATCCATTTCCGCTTTCGTGATTTATGTTATCAGTGATATATTTTAGTCTATGAGAATATTTCGAATAAATTTTGAGATTAAAAAAAATCACTGAACGCAATAAACTGTGAAAATGTCTGCAAAACGAAAATGTTGAAAGCAGTCTGACTGAAGTTTTTTGACGCCAACGTTCGCCACAACACCTGTCATTAAATATGAGATTTTAATGGCTCAAAAAATGTTTGGTTACCCCGCATATTGGTCTTATCAATGTTCATCATTGTGTATAACATTGATGAATATTCCGAAAACTGCTTGAAACGAAGACAAACTTTCAGAATGTAGCGTTCATCCTTCATGAAGAACTCCTTTGTACAGTGATATCAGATTTGGAATTTTTCAATTTTAAAATTGCTCCATAAGAAACCGGTAGCGATCGATGAAGTAATCAGATGAAATCTGAAACCTGAACGGAGCTGTGAATGCTCGGGTAGATAATTTTGCCACTATTTCATAGCACAAACTATTCCAGTTAAATATAAGAAACGCTCAAAATCGGGACACGCATTGATCCAGCTGAATGAATTTGTTCTAATAAAATCAGTTTAGCTATGAACAAAGACCATATGCACGCAATATATTAATCTCTAGGAATTGGTATTAGTCATCATCATATGGCAATAGCCTCTACGTAATTGGATACAAAATTTTTTGTGAATAGCTGAGAAAAAACGGAAAGTTTCCTGCTCTGATCCATTTTATTTGGCTTCTTTCTTTCGATCGAAAAACGCTTAAATTAATTTAGACGAATGTCACTTAACCGAATCAATGAAACAATTGTGTATAAATGAAGAATAAACGTAACTCTAAATGTAATATAACAGTGTATGGTCATTATATGAATCGATAACATTTTGGTACCTTTTCTTATGTATTTAATGAACAAGAGCACAACTGTGAAATATGGCGAATGAGAAAATGTCATTATGCTAAAAAACGACCAGTATATTAGGAAAAAACATCATGCTCTGATAAACAGAATTGCCTCGTCGCAAACAAACAGCACATGGTCTGAATTCGTAATCGTTGTCAGTCTTGGAAGCTCTTCCAGAAACTATGCAATGTATTTTCATGTAATATTGTTGAGTCTCATCAATAATCATGATGATCAATGAAGTGGGCGATTCGATCCCAAATGGAACATACCATTGACGACTGAAGCACTTCGTTACGCAATACACAACTGAGTTCACTTTAAAGCCAATGAGTGTAAAAAGTAATAGCTCCTTGGATTTATGAACCCAAAATATAAAAACCATCACAACACGTGTATTTCACCACATTAGATTGACTGTATTTGCGCTGCTTTTCATTGACTGTACGTCT